ATATATATATATATATATAAAATTCTTGCTGACAAATTGATAAAAACTAGTTACTTTTAAAGAAAAAGTATAAAGATCTAAAATGACATTGATTACTTTTATAACAATAGACCATCAAGCAATTATTGTTTTCTAATTTTTCTTTTATATATTTTATACAATTATTGTTTTTGGGGTTTTCACGTTTTTTGAATAGATAGGACAGCAGGAGAGTATAGACAGGAAAGTGTGGGGAACTGAGAGACGTTCTGCATAGAACCCCGAGGCAGAAATTGATCTCGGGTCGCCGCGTGCCATGTGTTGACATTCTGACCACGACGCCATTTGCGCTGACGTTCTTAATATTTCTGACATTATTAGGTATACAAAAGACAATGAATGACATTTCATTGTGTGTGCGTCTTCTGTACTTCATAGTAAAAAACATATGTAAAGAGTTCAGATGCAAAAACCTAAGTGCCATCTGAAATTTTCTTCAAAAATTACCAATTTTTAGAAGCCTCTGGTGTTTATGCTCAGTTATTTCACATTAAAGGACATGAAAATAACCTATTCTTTTATATAGAAGTGAAATTACCGAACATGCACATAGAGACCTGGGTAAAATACTACTTTTAGAAGAAAATTTCAGATGGCACTTAGGTTTTTGCATCTGAACTCTTCATGTCTTGATGCTCAGAAAAAAAGAAAAAAAATAAACATGACAAAACTGACAGCATTTACACTCCCCGGCCACTTTATTAGGTACACCAGGTCAACCGCTCATTGAGGCAAATTTCTAATCAGCCACTCGCATGGCAGCAACTCAATGCATTTAGGGATGTAGACATGGTCAAGACAATCTGCTGCAGTTCAAACAGAGCATCAGAATGGGGAAGAAAGCTGATTTTAGTGACTTTGAACATGGCATGGTTGTTGGTGCCAGACTGGCTGGTCTGAGTATTTCAGAAACTGTTGATCTACTGGGATTTTAATGCACAACCATCTTTAGGGTTTACAGAGAATGATGTGAAAAAGAACAAATATCCAGTGAGTGGCAATTCTGTGGGCACAAATGCCTTGTTAATGCCAGAGGTCAGAGGAGAATGGCCCGTCTGGTTCAAGCTAATAGAAACGCAACAGTATTTAAAATAACCACTAGTTACAAGCAAGGTAAGCAGAAGAGCATCACTGAACGCACAACACGTCCAACCTTGAGGTGGATGGGCTACAGCAGCAGAAGACCACACCCAGTCACCAGGTCTCAATCCAATAGAGCACTTTTGGGATGTGGTGGAGCAGGAGATTCACATCATGGCTGTGCATGACAACTCTGCAGCAACTGTGTGATGCTATCATGTTAATGTGGAGCAAAATCTCTGAGCAATATGCCTAGTACATACTTAGTTGTTAAGTCTATGCAACAAAGGATTAGGGCAGTTCTGAAGGCAAAAGGGGACAAACCCAATATGAGTAAAATGTACCTAAAAAAAGTGGCCGGTGAGTGTATATTAAATAATAAAATCGAAGTCTAAAAATAGAATAAAAATCTCAAAAGCTAAATTTAAACTAACTAAAACACAATAAATAAATAAATAATAAGTTAAATAATCAAGTTAAGCTTGTAAAAATGTATCTTTTGCAAATAAGCACATAAACGAATCACAATAATACTAATACTGCTAATGTGTCCTCCTTTAGTGTAGACTAGTTGCTCAGTGCACTGTTAACTGCTAAGGTCAAATTGCTTAGTGTGCACAGCTGCTCTATTCACAGGATCTGAAGGGATTTCCTGTGACATGAACCTCTGAAAGCTGCGTATGACAAAAGCAGCGCATGAACTAGAATCCAAATCAGGTCGCTCTCCTTTCTCTGCTAAAGTAGGAAAACATGACCGCATTCTTCCTTTCTGACGCATGCATCGTGTCACTTACGTAATTAATACATAACACTTCAACAATGAATAGGTTAAAAGGAAATGAAGAAAAGTGACTACATGATTTGTTTTGGCATTTGTACAACACCCAACGTAAATCAAAGCAAACTAAAAAATAAAAATAAAAAAAAAACACAGAACAGATCGGTTTTGAAAAAACAAAATGGCTCTAGTGAGTGACACATGAACAATAATAAGGGTTGTGGGTGCTGACATGCACTTACTTGTAAACCTGTATTCGTCCTCTCGCCGTCTTAGCTCTAGCTCTACAGAGAAAGGAGGACAGTTATGACCAGATCTTTAGCAGTTCTCACAGTAAACCTTGTGTCATGAAGAATTGTACAAATGCCAAATGACAAAAGATGACACCAAACGCTGCTGTTGGATTAGATTCACATTAAAGTGAAGGTTATTTTACTTCTGAAAAGGAAGATTAGAGAATTTAAAATATTGGACACAATGGAAATCTATCAGGGAGGGATGTTTATACTGTATAATCCAGTCAAATGGTAATATGTAAAGGTTGGTTTTTGGATGTTTGGCGTTTTAAAATTGTACAAGTTTCCATAGCTATTCTTCAAAGTCAAATCTAAGCACTTTCCATGTGTATTTTTAAACGCTTACAGTACTTTAAGCGTGACAAATTACATAGAGTGAGGGAAAATAAGTATTAAACACGTCACCATTTTCTCAGAAAACATATTTGTAAAGGCACTTTTGACTTGAAATTTTCACTGGATGTTGAAAACCATATATGAAAAGAAAACAAACCTAATTAGTTTACAAATGAAGTTATGTGTAAAATTAAATCACACAGGGAAAAGTACTGAACACATGAAGAAAGGGGGGAGTAGAAAGCCAGGGAGAGCCCAGACAGCAGGTGAAATCTCAGTAGTTCTTAAGCAACCCTCTGCCCTCCCCCATTGTAAATGAATATTAACTTCTTCAGTCCAATATCTACATTAGCAGGATGATGAAGATGAAGCCAGGGTGGACATTTCAGCAAGAAAATGATCCAAAACACAGCTAAGGAAACTCTCAAATGCTTTCAGAGAAGGAAAATCAAGCTGTAGAATGGCCCAGCCAATCACCTGACTTGAATCCAATAGGAAATACAAAATAAAGCTCAAATCTGATAGACGAGACCCACAGAACCATCAAGATTTTTATGCTGTTGAAGTCAATGCATGTGACTTTATTTTCCATATGAGAGGCGTCTTTAAGCTGCCATCACCAAAAAAGCCTTTTATATGAAGTCTTAAATACATTTCAGTAGTTCAGTATGTTCCCCTTGTGTCGTTCCATCGTTATTACACATAACAACATTGTTTTAGATTCTTTTGTTTTATTTTATGTTTGCATTGTTTGTTTTTCCCAAAATCAGGCTCAATTCCATGTTAACGGCTCCCTTAGAAATATTATTTCCAAGAAAAAACATGACCTGTTCAATACTTATTTTACCGGCCGTATTTACTTAGATATACATTCTTCATCACATTGTATTAGTCAAGATTCAATATTATACTATAGAATGCTAAAGGGAACATTTTGATGGTACGTTTGTCCCAAGTCCAACATTACATTACTGTCATTTTACAGTACTCGCATCCTTAATGTGTCATCTTTCATCTCAAATTTGTATTTATTTTTATTTACTGCATTATTCACTCATGAAGCGGAATTCTCCACATTTTCTCCTCTCCCACTGTGTGAGCATTAAAAATTAAAAAATGAAGATAAAAAATAAAGACAGATCTAGTGTTGTGAAGATACAGGAATTCGATACCAGTCGGTACTGAAATTTTAAAAACTGCCTCTTCATGCTAATAATTGATTACAGAATCAAATTTTTTGAGTGGAGTAACATTAATTATTTTGAACGCAAGATAAATAGATTTGCCAGAAGTTTCAAGTAGTTGATCCAAAATCTAAGCACTTTTCAGACCCTGAAAACATCACATTATTCAAGATTTCCAGCACCGATATAAATCCTGTTGAGAGCTTTGTTTGGGAATTTAATTTCTCAATATCATAACTTAATCCAGTCAATTTAATACAATATGTTTAAAAGATATACTAGACTTTGAGAAGCATGGGAAGCATAACATAGGAACTTTATCAAATATTTAAGCAATTCAAACATGAAATTACATTTTCAGAAATTTAGGTAGCAACAAATGCATTTTTAAATATATGTTATGTATGGAGCCAAAGTGAACAGCTAGTTGCTAATCATGCATTTATATACATCCACCTTTCAAATAATCTGCATTCACAGATGCAGTACGCTTTTTGGGGGGGGATTCAATGAGCAATACCTCAGTTTTTTTCTGAATTTAATCATAGAAGGTTATTAGTCATCTCATTTTTAGTATCAGCTGTACAATCTGTTAGTTTCGTGAATTCATCAGGTTGTGAGAAAATATATAGTTGTGCGTCATCGGCATAACAGTGGAAATGAATTCCATTCTTTAACATGATATCGCCTAGCAGTAGCATATATAATGTAAAAAGCAAGGGACAAACTGAGCCTTGTGGGATCTCATACTTTTAATCAATATATTTACTCATAATAAGTGGACCTG